CAAACATTCTCTAACGACCTGTCAAACAACAGCTGTTGATAATAAAGGTGAAATTTCTAAGGCGGGTTGCGACCTTCATACTTGCAACCATAGCCATTTTGAAGGCTATTTTTATTCGAAATTAGTCGCCAAGTCTCCCAATTTATGAAAAATATATAAGCAGTTTCTTAAAAATGACTTTTTTATGGTGGCGCTAACTTAAGCGTACTACTATTTCGCCCCTAGCCACAAAAACACCTTTATCAAATTTACTGGCTCTTTCGGAGTCCCATAGAATAATTAACCGGCTATTTTATTTGGCAAAAAGCAGAATAATGCTTGGCTGTGCCTGTCAAGTATCAAGATGTCAACCGTGATGTGTGAATGGCTCTTAAATGTCAAATTATTTAAAAATGTATGCTTCTTTTGATATTTATTGCAAATAATTTGTAGTATATCTCAATTCAGGCTTTCCATAAATAAAGGTACAGCAAGACAAATAATATAATGTTCTTATACACTTTTTTATTATATAAAAGAGTTCGGATATAATGCTGTTTTTTTGTAGATAATTTTAATTATACAGTTTTGGATTGCATATTCAACCAGCGAATTGTAAATAATAATTAGTAAACTCCTAGTCATAAATTTCCTCAATTCATAAAATTTAAAACTGAATCTTCTTACCTTGGGATTTTAATGAGGTAATGTAATCAACCCATTTCAAATTTTGATCAATGATGTTGTGTTTTTCATTATAATTATAAAGTTGTCATTTATTTGTATGTATTGTAAATTACATTGCTCTCTATGGATCTACTTTAATACAAAAATAGTTTTGTGGCTATTCGCTCCGTGCGAAGTCATGGAAAGGGAAGCAAAAGCGATACTAGCGCTAGCTGCGGATAATTCGTGCATTTTAGGGGGATATTTTGTAATTTTGGCATATCAAATACACGTATACATTTTACTTTTTTTCAAAAAAGTAGGTAAAAACAACACAATAAGCAACCGGAATTGCTGTGTTGAAAATTGTACAAATACTAGCAAAAAAAAAACAGTGAAACTTATATAACAAATTTCACTAACAAAGTGGAAATTAAATCAAAGAAATAAATGGATATGTGTACAATAAGAAGAAAAATTACCTTTATTTTTGTGATAATAACAGTAATGCTGGAAATAGTAGACATCAGAAACTAGAAAGTTTTTAAATAAACAATAAATTATCATTTTACGATGTTCTTTAATATCCCTTTATTCTTAAATGTTCATTCAGCAAGGACTAGATTTCAAGATTTCTGCCGTTGATTATAATATTTGGCTGGTATGCAATTTTGTGACTTACTGATCGGAAACCAGTTTTAATCATTCATTCTATGTTTTCTTTAGAACAAAAATGAAAATATAAGTAGCGATCCTTTTTATACATTTTAACTTCACGCTATTATAAATGGTTTCTTCAATGACAACTTATTAGACTTAGGCAACTTCTCATACATTTTCCAGTAAATACTGTTGCCTGCCTATATTTTATTATTGATTTTTAATGATTATACATAATTTTCTTTAATTTAAGCGTGAAAAATATATAATAATAATAAATTAATGTTTTAATTGTTTTATAAATCCATATACTTTTATTAAAACTAACATATATACTTTTTATTTACGAATTCTATTAAAAATTGTATTTGTCAGTATAGGCAACAAATTGGCGCTGCTGTCGCGCACGGAGCGAATAAGTTGCTATAACCTATCGTCGCAAAACAATTAATAATTTAAACATAGTAAGTAGTAAAACGAGGGGTAAAATAACAATAAATTAAGGGAAATCATTAAAAAGGGCAGGTTTATCAAGTATTGTTAGAGGTTACTTTTGAGTACATTTATTGTTTTTTTTTTTTTTTTTTAATTTCTGTAGGTAGTCTATTAAATTTTTGCAAACCTTTGATAAAAATTGTATTTTGGGAACTTTTAGTGATGGCTTGACGTACATGAAAGTCAGATTGGCTTCTTGTATTATAGTTGTGATATTGTGAATTATATTGAATTTTTTCCAATAGATCTGATGCGATGAATTTATGTCATTTTTATTTTATAAATAAATATCAGTCGTGTACTGAACATAATTCTGTACTGAAAGCCAATTTATTTCTTTTAACATAGTTGCAATACTCATCCTTCTGTCCTTTATTAATAGAATATAAATAGGCGGAGTAAGGAGCCCAAATATTTTACATGAGCAGGCCTAAGAGGTAAAGGGGCCAATTATTATTAGATAAATTGCTCGAACAAGTTTTTAAACCTTAATCAAAAGACGATATAGATTGGTTTTAAAAATCAAGGCTTGTGAAAATCATCACATGGTTTAACCTAATTAATGCCAATGCTTCACAAAACAAAAAATTCAACGTCCTAATACTACATCAGCTTTCGGTTTTTGGTTCCAAGTTAAATCATTTCTCGTTTTTGTTACGCTACGAATTTACCCTTGTGGGCCTTAGTCTCGATAAGGTAGGAACCACCATTTTAGCGTCTCTCGAATTATATTTTTAGTTCCTGATATTAAAAAAATCAGAGCAAAGCATGGTTAGTCTAGTGTTTAGCAATTAATAATCTATATCTCATTCTAAAAAATGTAAAAATGTATTGCCAGATAAATTTCACTGACGTTGCCCTTTTTATTTAATTGCCACTACACTTTATACATGCCATAAGTATGAAAATAAAAAACAATCCTAATTATTAACGGGGTGGGTAGCTCTGTGGTAGAGTCTCTGCCTGCGGATCCAAGAGTCCCAGGTTCGAATCCCACCGTTGGCCGGGATTTTTTCATTTAATTTAATTATTTAAAATTAATTCTGATGCTTTGGTAGGATTCCCCACTCGACCATTCACTGTTGGGTACTAATTAACAGTGCTGTTACTAAAGTGGCGCTGTAAAACAGTAACAAAGCCTACACAGAACACGAGGCTAATAGCCGTAGCAGTTGATGCCGAAGACAAAAAAAATCGTAAAAGATTGTAAAGCGTACCCGCGGTTCATTCAAATGTCCTTTATTTACCTATTTACATTTTTTTGACATTCATTACTTTAAAAAAACTAATATTTAAATTAAAATATTGTATTTATCCTAAATATTAGTTTGTTAAAGTAATAAAACCCTAAAAAATATTAATAAAGAAATATATTAAAATATTTGAAACACAGGTATAGTTTAATCATTTAATACAAGTAAGGTGCATTTAAAGGTTTAATACATACATAACATGTACTCAATATTAAAAACAATAATTGTAAGTGAAATTAATAGTAGTAAGTACAAGTTATTTTTAATTTGTCTAAAATTCGTATATTTTTGGAAAAACTTAATCTTTCTCTGGCTTACAAATTCTAATATTTTGTTTTCTATTAATAAAATTAAGCTTTTTCTCTTTAGGAGTTAAATTTTTGGCTCTACTTTTATTTATTTGTTACATAAACGGGTTTTCTTCGTTTTGAGGGTTGTTCAAATTGTTTATCACAAAGATAGCAAATTTTTGCAAAGTTAAATTTAAATTCTTAAACCAGTTCTCACGAATTTTAACATGAAAATGAAAAAAGGTTTTATTTGAATACCCAGCTTGAATATTAGAATACTTATTTAAACAAGTAGGAGCTAAACAAGAATACTTAGTTTTACCTTTCGATGATTTACCCAGGCCAGACATGTTTTGTTATTGTTACAAAATATATTCAAAAAGAATGAAATTATATTTCGTTAATGCTAAGAAAACAATGATAAAGTCCTTAAACAAATATAACACCTTAATACTTACTAAATACATCAAATCGGCACTTATGAATCTTCTTAAACTAAAAAATAACCCTATGGAACTTACACAATTATAAAATAACCACAATATATCCCCTGAGGGGATATATCATTAAAATAACTTTTATTATGCTTTTATTTAATTGTAATTAGCCCATTTCGCCCTCCGCCATTCCGTTTTTTATTTTTACGAGGTTGTCAACATAGTTGTCAAACCTCTCTTTAAACTATCCCTGCAATAGTATCCCATTGTATGAATGTTATCGAGCTTGACAAAATCAAAATAATATGTTTGAAATAACTCTAATCTCATGAAAGTTTATGGAAACTGGCAACATCGCTTTCATCTTATTGCGATGGTGGCTCCAAATAGTATGCTGAGGAACTAAACTTGTTACCAGTGCCGTGCATTTAAACGGTTTATCTTACATATTAATTTATCTATGGTCGTACCGCAAAACGCGAGATGGTAAGACTCAAGAGATATCTGTCTAGATGGTAATAAAGGTGCATAATTTTTAATAAATGATTAGATTAAAAAAAAATTATTTACAGGTTTAAGAAATAATTATATACATATCACAGTTAAATAAAATTAATCGGCACTACCGAGTCTACAAGACTTTTCGTGCGGGCCCACTGGACCATGGTGAACATGTTCGCATATTAAACTTATCTGCGATTTAAAATTGGGAAAAATAACAGCTCTTACTCCTTACCAAATCGGTATCATTGAGGGATTATCATTGCTTTTGGATCGGGAATGGGAAAGTGTTTGTCTCTGTGGAGTTTTTAGTTATTGTTTAATTCCCTGAAAAAGCTAGACAAAACAGGGTTGTCTTTGTGTGTACGTTGGTCATGTATAGTTTTATTTAATACTACAGTTGCAGGGCGAATGATGGACCCAACAAATGTTTCTGATATTATAAAATCGATACCTTGACGACATGCACCCTCTTCTTTGCTGGGTAGATGTCACCATGAGTTCTGTTTTCAAAATAAAAACACAAGTGGGAAATAAATGGGAAAATGATTATTTTACTCTGTTCAGGGAATCTGAACAAACTCTTCTTTATATTTTCTGGATTTATTTGTACACGTCACTAGTTTAAATAATAATTTCTTCGGCCTCCTCTAATATCTGAACGACTTTTTAGGAATCCATAATTCAAAAACGCTTACAAATATTTTTTTTGTTTTCAGAACAATCTCGGAAGAAAATTGTTCAAACGATTCACAGTTAAGAGCAATCAAACAAGAAATCAATCTACTCCAACAAGATTTAGACAACGAGCGACGTTGCAAAGAAATCGCCGTTCAAGAAAACAGGTACCTAACTCGTTTTAGATCTAACATTTTCTATTTTTTTACCTCTCTATTTTTATAGGCGACTTCAAGACGATATGACGAGCCTAAGCTTAGACTGTAAGGACGCCCGAAAGGAATTGGAAATATCTAAAAGACAAGTTGAAGATCTCAAAAGACAACTCCAGCATTATGTAGCCGAGGTTAAGAGAACCGAGGATCTCATATCTCAAAAAGTATTAAAACCGCACCTATTTAAAATTGTAGGATTATATGTGACTAATATTTGTTCAAGGAACTGGAAAGAACAGAAATTTTGGACCAATTCAGGAACCTCAGTCAAGAAAACAACGTCTTGGAAACCACCAATCACACTCTGGAAAGCGAAGCGACGCAAACTAGGGTGCAACTGTCTGTAGCTTTGGATCACACTTCTGATTTGGAACGAAAAATTGATAACCTGGAAGCCATAATAAGGAGCTACGAAAAACAAGTAAACAATATAACTCGTTTTTATATTTTTAGCATACATGTTTGATAATACCGGTTCCGAACAGAGCTGCTGCGGCACACCACCAACATATTTAACTAATTTAATCCTTATTACGTTTCAGATCTCGGAACTGACCTGCCAAGTAGCCAGCATGGAAATGCAAATGAAACAAGGTACTTCGTCGAAAGAAAGGATTTCCGAGGAGATCAAACATCTGAAAGATTTGTGCGTAAAACTCGATAACGAAAAGGACGAAATGAAAAGGGAAATTAGAAATAAAGAGGACCAAAAAATGGCGGTAAGTCGAACGAAAAATTACAAATAATTGTCAGTAGCTATGTTCACCGTCGTAAAACGTGTTTTAAGAATCATAGAACACATTTCGTAATCGGTTGAGCTGACGGTGAACGATTGTTTTGTTTACGCTTTATTTTCCTAACCTCAAATTTAAACTTGGTTTAAATTCGTTTAATTATAGACAAATAATTAACAATTACTGCCGTGTACTCTATGTTTTTATAACGAATATCAATTTATTTTAATAAAAATCAAGACAAAATGGTCAACTTTATGATTTTAAAGCACAAAAGCTTACAGTATTTGCAAGTTTATGATTATTAATCATGATTGGAAAAGCAGTGAAGCGATCGCCAATTCATCGTTACCGATTACATTATAATACGTTTGATGGCGATGAACACGGCCTAAATGACATTTTCAAGTCAAACGTAAATTTTTGAAAATGTGGAAATATAATCCCCAATTTCTCCTACAAAACAAATAAATGTATCCCAAAATAAAAACAAACCGAATAAAAATTTAAAAAGCTGAGATATAAAAAGATAAAATAAATGCATCGGCCAGTTGAACCCTCGGCGCCTCTACCAATTGGACTACCAAAGCACAGTCGACAGTCGAATTTGCAGATTTAAAGTTATCAGATTTCGACCCTTGCTGTTACCTTCTCCTAGCTCACTTAATTCTTTCTACAGCTACCCTTGCAACATCGTATAGAGAGACACCAAGTCGCCAAGCTGATCTTGTACCAGAATAAAGTTTAAGATCCTTCTTATTCGTTTGCCAGTGTTGATTTCGTGTACGACGCAAACTTTTTGACTTGAATTGTGTGTAAAAGGTCAACTCTCATTTGCCAATTATCAAATGTCATTTGCTAAGCCCCAAATGTCATTTTTTAATCGTCGACTATTACGTCAGGATTTTACTGCTACTCCTTGAAACTCCGTTCATATAGTGCTATTTCATGATTATGGTCTTTAATGGTAAATTTCTTGTATATATTGATCTAAAATTGACTTTAAATGACATTTGTCAGACGTCAATCGGCTTTTGTCAAGTCATCAAATGTCATGTGCCAGACGTCAACTGTCTGTTATTTGCTTCCGATTAATTTTTTGCAGTCATTGAAATTAGAAATAAAGAAGACCAAAAATTCACAAATAATTAATTTCGTGAGTTTTAACTGACGTGTTTCCAACGTCAGCTCTCACTTGACTAACGTCAAATGTTATTTGCTAAGCGTCAGAATTTTACTGCTACTCCTTGAATCTTAGGCCTTACAGTCTGATATTCGTTCTTTTTTAGTTTTCACTCTGTCTATTGCGTGTTATTTATTTTCATGAGTATGGTAATTTCTTTGTTTTGATTGGATGTGATGATCTTTGATGGTAAATTTATTGTAATTATTGTTCTAAAACTGACTTAAATATCAGAACTAACATCATTTGTCAAGTCGCCAAACGTCATTTGTCAGATGTCAATTGTCATTAATATATTTGTATTTGAAATTAGATTTAAAGAAGACCACTGAGCTACGCCACTTCTGAAAATATCGTTCCATCCATACAATTTGTATAAATGGAACGATATTTTCAGAAGTGGCGTAGCTCAGTGCTACACTTTCGATGCAACGGAAATCTGAAATTCATCATTGATGCCTGTCAAATTGCGTCATAGATTGATTACACAGGCCTGCGTTTAAATACTCTGTAAAATATGAATTGAACTTTTCAACTGAAATTGGGTATTTCAGTGACGCTGATTTCAAATCTGCTTTTAGTTTTTTTTCTATCACGTAAGGTTTTTAAACAAAATACTACAAGAATGCAAACAGTAAAAATATAGATACTTAGGATAAAAAAGAAAATAATAAACCAAGAAAACAAACAATAAAACCGGGGAAGTAGTAAAAAAATAACGTACATTAATCCTTTGTTTTCTCTCTTTCCGGAAAAGCTTCTTTTTGTTGTTTTTCGTGCATATTCTGCGGTAGGACGGTCCCTTTTAAGCATCCAACAGTAGTCGGCCATCATTTTGATATCCCAGCGCCCTGGTGAAAGCGCTCCCCTTGCTCTTCACTGACATCGCCAAATAGTTAAGATGAGCATGTAGAAAATGAATTTTGAAGCTCTAAATTTGTCCAACATGTTTTCAACAATACTTTCAAATTCAGCGTCTTTGTAGTTTCCTAGAAACTTATTTATAACTTGTTTAAAAGCTGTCTATGCTTCTTTTTCGTCTTCCTGCATAACCGTCTCAATTTCATTAGTTTTCATCAACCTTCTTATTTGTGACCCAACAACGATGCCTTCTTTTAATTTAGCTTCAAAGAGACCCGGAAATGTTTCACACAAGTACTTAAAGCAGTCACCATTCTAGAGCTTTGACAAATTGTTTCATCAGCCCCAATTTTGTAATAAAATTTTCTCGGGATCAACTAGGCTTTCCCGAATTACGTTTTTGGAGCCAGGCGTTAAATTTTTTTCTTGGTGGTCAGTTTTTTTGGTCCAGTGGTCATCTCTTGCTCTACTGTCCCACGCACATAGGAAACATGGGTATTTCGTATATCCGGATTGTTGACCTGAAAGCAACCCTAAAATTTTAAGGTCACTACTCCTGTTATGTTGTTTGTAGTTTATTCTTAAAAGCAGTACCTCAAGATTTTCGTAATTTTCTTTTAGCTGAGTAGAATGACCAACAGGAATAGATGCATATAAATTGCCATTATGAAGTAGAATAGCTTTAACACTTCTCTCTGAAGAGTCTATAAAAAATCTCCACTCGGCAGGATTGTATTCAGGAGCACCTAGCTGAATAACCAAGTCAGATATATTTTGACAATATACAAGTGAACCAGCTGCGGCAAAGTAATTGACAAATTCAGCCTCACAATTTCTATACCAATAAAATGTAGTACCTACCTGGAGCAAGTAATTTTTTTTCTTTAAGCCTTGATCCTAAAACCTCAGAGAGGTCTTTTGGAAGTCCCAAATCCCTGACTGTCTTTCAGTTCTACTTGAGAAAATAGCTGCGGTTCACGGGTTCCTGAGGTAGATGGCTCAAAAATGTCAATTTCTGAATCTGTTTCGATAGACTGTAATACTTTAGGTGGAACAGGTACAGGTATATCAGCGTCATGTGGAACTGGTCTTATTGCAGATGAAAGATTAGGATAGTTAATATAATAATAATAATAATAATAACTTTATTCGCATAAAATAAGAAAAATATATATATATAAATTGTATAATAAATACATCAACATCAATAATAATAATAATAATAATAATAATAAATACATCGACATCAATATAAACAATTTATCGAATAAAGTGATAAGGCCGATAAGTACATGAGTACTTGTTTCGGCTGATTAAAAACATACAACAATAAAACTAATAGTAATATGAATAAAACTTCTTAGCAATATACTTTAGAGATTTTGTGTTATGACCTTTAATATCACAAAGACAAAAATAGCAGTCGTCAATGTGATTTTTAGGTTCTCTCCAGACCATTGGAACTCCAAACGGTAGGGCTTTTCTTGTTCCTTTAAACCAATGCCTCAAGGCTTCTTCGCAAATCTTGCAGATAACATGTGGCGCCCAAGGTTTATCTTGATCTCCAAGTCTGACTTAAAAATATGCAAAATATGCATTTTTTACGAAATCAGTAATGTTTTTTTAAACTTCTTCACGATAGTGTCCACAAATATAACAAAAGTCATCAGGCCTATTTTTACAACACCTACTAGACATTTTTTTAATAGAAAGTGCACAACGAAACACCGATAGAATTCGATAGACAACGCCTGTCTCAATACCACAGGGATACTAAATATATCGCCCTCTTTCCTGAATAAATCGGGTCTCGGGGAATCCCCAACAATATTCTAGTAAGTACCGGTAAATCCCCCTACAAATGCGCAAATTAAAACGAGGTTTTAAAGCGTCTCAACGTTTTGAACAAAAATAAGGAATTCAAATTAATTTGTTTGTGATGTTCAGGGATAATACCCTTGATACTAGTTTACAAAAAAAGTTTACGTGATAGAATAAAAAGGGGGTTATTTTAGCTATATAGAAGTTGTAAATAGGTAAAAAAAAAAAATGGCTAGATCACAAAATTTTCGCGGGCCTGTGTTATCGGTGGAACGATTTGTGTTGAATAAAAGAACATCATTTGGAAAGTCATTTGTCATTACGATTTAAATTTGATCAATGGAAAAATTATGAAAAATGTTTACTTATGAGTATTACTTGGTATTACTGCATTAATTGGCTCTAGAAATAGATATAGTACTACTCCTTCTGACGTTAGTTTTGTCAACTTGTCACTTTCAAAACTTTCTGCCACCTCGGAACGACGGTGGAACGATTGATCAATAAAAATTGATTAATAATTGATCAATAATAAATGAACGTGAATCGAATCCACCGCAAATCCACCGGTGAACAAATGAACGTAATAAATAAAAAACTCGCTTTATATGTCAGTTTTGAGACGCCATCTGTCAGTTATCGGCTTTCGATTAACAATTTGTATGTATTTATTTTTTAGCTGGAAAGAAAAATGGATTTGTTTACTAGAGAAAATTCCGAATTAAAGAGAGCGTTGGACAAGGACAAAGACAGCCAAGATGGCTTGGAAAGGCTGCTGAACGAGGCTAGACAGGATCTAGTCGAACAGAGATTGTTAAACGAAGATTTACAAAACGAAATAAGCACGCTGAGAGGCAAAGTTGACGAGCTACAAGAAAGATTGTAAGTAGAAACGATATAATTGAATGATTTATGACGTTTTGTTATCGTATTATTTTTTATAAGAAATGTTCGTATAAATATTGGTCGAAATGTTTTATTTTGTTTTTCTAGAGCCGTCTCTACGGAACAATTAGATCTGTTTCAAGAGAAAGCGTTCGAATACGGCCAGCAAAATAAGCAACTGCGTCGCGACATTGCCAACGAACGATTTCTCAGGTCTAGGGATGACGATAGCAAACGATATCCATCGCTTTGAGAGGGATGTGCGCCTTATGCCGGGTCTGCGTTGAGAAAGGTCGCGCAAAATTGGATATTAACCCTTTAATATCATCCTCATAACTTCCAAATCCATGTATCTTCACAATTTACTTCAAGACTGTTTATACCTTTAGCCCCTCAGAAAATAATCCGGGAGTGTTAAGTTTGGTGATTTACCTGGCTACTGCATTTTACTTTTTCAAATAATAATCACTTTCTTGGATTTATTTAGTCCTTTCTTTAGCTGTTCTCTCCTCGTTATGGAAAAAGTTATGAGTCCTTATATTTCTGAGTTGTTTGAGCTTGTAAATTGTTCATTTAAGAGGTACGTTACTCAACAGATATTTCATATGAACTGCAAAATTTTTTGATTGGACAGGTATACTGAAGAAAATATCCAATGCAGACCCGGCTTTATATTTATGTTGTGATTGTCTCTATAATTATCAGATAATTGTTTTTATTCCAATGGCAATATTTTAAGTTTTAAAGCGTTAGTTTCACTACTTTTAGCGTCGTAACTCCGGATCGAAATATTTTTAAAATTTAAAAAAATATATATTTAATATCGATATATTTTGCGATTCTTGGCGTTTACATTCAAAGCGTGAAAATTCTAAACTTGTATCATACGCATAGGATTAAGAATTATGATTGTAAATAGCATTATTTTTAAAATTCCTGATGAAATCTCGAATTAATTTTATATATTTAAAAAAAAGTGTACTTAGTATTTTAACTGGTTTTAAATATTTTTTATCGACTATATAAAAATTATGTATATTTTAATTAAATTAATTTTATACACGATATGGTTATTTGAAAAGAGAATAAAAATTAAATGTTGCCTTCGATGTATCTACCTATACAATAGTATATAGGGTTGGATGACAAAATGTACATATCTCTCGATTTCTAGCTTTATTGGACAAGAAACAAAGAATGGTCGGACAAATTGATTTTGTTTTTTAAATACGTTTTGACTTACTTATATATTTATGACTATTCAACACTATTTTTGATACAACCAATTTTTTGCTAATATTTTTCGAAAAAAAAAAAAATTAAATTTTATTGTATTGTAACCAGTGATGGGTCTTTTCATGAAAAGTAAAGGATTTTTATTTAATTAAAAAAAAATTAAATAATTCTAATAATAATAATAATAACACATTTATTGTCCACATATAAAGTACATATAGTACAGTTTATACAATTAAAAATATATATATAAAAAAAAGTCAGTAGACAATTGGTCCAAATTGGCTCAGGTGCAGATATTATCCACCCCCTGGTCTTCCATTAATGCCAAGATGATATAAAAAAATGCCTTTTGAGATGGCTTGCTAAAATTATAAGAAAAGTTTAATGAAAAGGGAAGGAAAGGAAACAGAAAAGGATAAACAAAAGGAGAAAGAGAAATGAGAGAACAAAAAAGAAAATAAGAAAAGAAAAAAAGAGTAGAAATAAAAAGTAATTATTGTGTTTGCAGCAGTATATTTTTATATCGGCATTTAAAGGTTTCTGCTTTCAAATGTAATAATTTTGGATCAATTTTTAATAGGTTATTGATATGAACTGTGATATTGTAGATAAAAGAACTGTTAAAACTAGTTTTGGAAAATCTAGGCAATCTAAGTATGGATTTAAAACAAATATTTAGGTTATGAACATCAGTTCTAAAGGTTAATTTTTCATGCAAGTATGGTGGTGTCCTCATAATAAATAATTTTTGACTGAGACAAGCAAAATGTAAATTTCTTCTATTAACCGTATTTAACCATTTAGTTTCTTTAAATTTAGTAGAAATGTGATCATATTTACGAATTCCAAATATTAACCGTACACAAGAATTCTGCAATTTTTTAATTCTTCCAGTCTCGAAAATGTTTAAACATACAATATCACAATGATTAAAATTTGATAATACTAGTGAATCACATAACATTTTTTTCACATCTGGTGATAGAAAATATCGTTGCCCATATATTAGTTTCAAACTTGCATAAAACATTTTTAATTTTGATGTAATGTGTTGTTCAAACTTCAATTTTGAATCTACAGTAAGTCCTAAGTTTTTACATTGCATAACAATTGGGATAAACGCGTCATTAATTTTTAATAATGTCGATGAGTTTACAGAATCCCTAATTGACCATTACAAAAGATCATTGCTTTGGATTTTTTAGGATTTTTAGTGAATGATTTTTAGATACATTAAAGATTTCATTTAGATCAGAATTAATATTCTGTATAGATTCATTTAAATTGGAGTACTTAAAAGAATAGTATAATTGGGTGTCATCAGCGAATAAATGATAATTACAGTATTTAAGTATACTTGGAAATTGTGAGGCATAGAGAGTAAAGAATAAAGGGCCTAAAAAACTACCTTGAGGTACACCAGATGTTATCTCCAACGGTGTGGAAGACATATTATCTATTTGAACAAGTTGTTTTCGCTGGTAAAGATATGATTTTAATAGAGACACAGATGTATTATTAAATCTAAAAAAACTTCAACATGGCAAGTAAAATTTTATGATTTATATTATCGAAAGCTTTCGAGAAATCTAATAGTATTAAGATAGAAAGTCTTTATCTATGGCTCTAATTAAATCATATATAACATCCACTAGAGCTGTAGCCTGACCTAAAACCAGATTGTTTACTAAGCAATATATTGTTGTTTTTCAAAAACTCATTTGAATTTCCATTACTCTATTTATTGTTTCGGCCTTTACTTGATGAAAATCCATTTAATCTTGAAAGAGTAAAACCAAATTTGGTAGATTTTCACACTTTTATTTTAAAAATATAAAATTTTTTAAAAACACTAACATGACATATGTTTCGAAGTACAACTTCTTTTTCAAATGTCATTTGAAAAAGAAGTTGTACTTCGAAACATATGTCATGTTAGTGTTTAAAAAAAAAAAAAATTTATATTTTTAAAATAAATGTGTGAAAATCTACCAAATTTGGTTTTACTCTTTCAAGATTCCATTACTCTCTAATAATTTGGAGAAAACAGGTAAAATACTAATTGATCTGAAATCACTGTATTCTTCAGGTAAAGTTACTTTTGGTAAGGGCAAAACTTTGGCGAATTTCCATGATTCAGGAAAATAACTATTTTTTAAGCATTTATTAATAAGGTGTGTAATAATGGGTAATGCATAGGTAGGATTCCCCACTCGACCATTCACTGTTCTAATTCTGTTTCTAAAGTGGCGCAGGGAAACAGTAACAAGGCCGTCTGTAGGGGTGTAGGAATATTAGAGTACTAGCACTCCTGCACTATGGAGTATTAGACTACTAGTACAATCCATAACCTTCATAGAACACAAGGCTAATGATCTAAGTTGACGAAGCCAGTCACAATAGAAAAAAAAAATTTGGATTAGACGGATATGTCCGGAAATGTAATGAAAAGTCGCAATGAAAAGTAGTGGATCTTGGGCGTGGAAGACACACACACACAATTAAATCTCCATCCTGGATGTTTTTTCAAAAACATTTTGGGAACAATATTTGTATTTCGTTTTATTGGGCCAATTTGTAAAATACTTCTAACTTTAAGTATTGATTTTAATAAGATATGAAATGAAAATTCGAAAACATCGGTAAAACATATAAAAGTCAGTAATTATTTATCATTTCTTCTTTTTTAACCTTTATTTTGCCTTTGTTTGTAATAAATCAGACAAATTAGTTCATTATTTAATTCAGACTAGTCCCTCGGACTTGTCTGAGGACTTTTCCAAGCGACACATCACTAGTTTTTAAAATAGTGACAATAAAAAAGTATTTTAATTAAATAAAAACTTGTGATGACATCATAACTCGAATAGTAATGATGCTATAGAAAAAATATTATATAAGTGCCTATATCTTAAAAACAAAATCAACTCAATCTGTTATAGCAGTTTTTTTGTTGTCGAATAAAGCCAGAATTTGGGTGTTCCGGCCTGTTTGTCCAACCTTGTATAATGTAAACTTTTATTTCACTACCTATCCTTTTAACGTTAACTTCCTGGTAAACCAATAGTTCAGGAAAAAAATGTGCAGAAGAAAACCTTAATGATTACACTAACTAACCTAATTGAATGGGTCAGTGGAAAAAGGAATCAAACGACAAAGGAGGGTATGCTTTTCTGGGTCTCATGCTCCCGGTCATAAGATTTTGCACACTTATAGATATATAAAAAAAGAAACATTTTCCGAAAACTTTAACATTTCAAACCATTCCGGAACATCTTCAAAAAAGCTCTTTTGAAGACAAAATAATGATAAAATAAACATTTTGGCAACAAAGCGTATGTGCCTATCCAGGGGTTCGACGTAATACATACATAGATGGTAACGGTAATGCAAATAAGACCACGTTACTATGGAAATACGAGTACCTAGTTAGTGTAGCAGACTGCGTGATGGACTTATCTCGAAAATACAGAGATAAAGAAAGACAGATAATGTCGAGTGTTATAGAAGCGTTTTAAACTAGGCGAGGTTTTGAATATTTCAAAAGTTCTTGGTGTGATAGCAATAAAATCAGGCGCAATCAGGCGATAAAGGTAAAGAATTAAAGATCGATGTCAGTAAAAATCAGCCAACAGAAAGGTTTACTTTTGCGATTTTGTTTCTATTCAATCACCTGTAACTGCACTCTTTTCGGTTTTTAAGTTTTGGATATTGGTGTCTAATAGTGGTGGTCTGCAAGTAGTCAGTACAAAAAAGCT